TATTTCACTCCCATATGTGTATATTTTGTCATAACAGCAAACAAAACCTTTTCATCCTTTGACTGTTGGCGTCTTCAAACATTCATATCACTGTCCAGTGGTACAAAACATGCACATGGCAAGGTCAGGAACCCTTGACTGTCCTGTCCAGCTGAGGATGGAATGGGCATGGACCAGTGACCACTGCATATTGTGTCTTTAAAACAACTATCCTGGGGTCGGCCCGGTGGCATAGAGGTTAAGTCTGCATGCTCTGCTTTGGTGGCCTGGGGTTCACTGGTTCGGATCCTGGGTGTGGACCTAGCACTGTTTATCAAGCCACACTGTGGCAGGCACCCCACATATAAAGTAGAGGAAGATGGGCAAAGATGTTAGCTTAGGGCCAATCTTCCTCAAAAAAAATAAATAAATAAAATAAGAGAAAAAAATAAAACAACTATCCTCATTCTGTCCTGTCTCCTCCACTGTCTATTTGGCATGTTATGGTAGTTAACATTATGGTTAGCCACAGGACTCTGAGGAACTTTATCCAGACCTGGATGAGAAGACTTCACAACTCCCCAAGATCCTGGATGTGTGGTTGGATGCAGTATATGACAAGAAAAGGGTGGAGTGTAGTAGTCATTTGCTGTTTCAGTCCTTCCAGAAAGCAATCACTCTAATTTTGATAACAGCCCTGGATTTTTACTTCTGGTGGAGCTAATTACACTGCTGGTCTATGGGTGGCATGTGACTTCTTACTTAAGAATTGTCAAAGGTTTACATTTTCCAGGACATGGTGATTGGTTCCAGGGTGGTCATGTGACCCACCAGAGTAAACAGCACATATAAGACATTTGTGGGGACTTGTGAATCAGAGGCAGTTCTTTCCAGCTGGTTTTGAACAGCAAAGACTGTAAGCTCAAGGTACTACAGTCATTTTTCTACTTGAAGAAATGCAATAGCTCAGAGGAAGCAGCACTGAGATATGGAGAGAGAACAGAGTCCTGCCAGCAAGATCTGAGTTTCCATAACAAGTGACACCTGAAGTCACCCTATCCCTGGATTTTCAGGTGTGTGAGCCAGTGGGTTCCTTTCGCTTAGGCCAGTTTGGGTTGGGTGACCCCCTTGAAACTAAAAGCCTTACCTTATAAATAATTAAACAACGATATATAAACAAGGTGTGATCTTGATAATATATTGAAAGAAACTTCATAATCTTATAGGCAACACTAGTAATTTGGTACTGAGCAAACTTTAGGAATTTTGTCCTCTGATGAGTTTGGGAGAAGAACCGTTTTTACCTAAGTCAGAATACAGGATTTTGGTACCATCCATTGTGCTGTGATGATGATAGGCATTTTGTATGGTAAATTGCTCTAAAAATCTATGCTTCCTCCTCCTGTTTTTCTTCTTTCAAAAGGAACTTCCTGACATTTTAAATATTTATTAAATAATAAATTTAAGTTTGCAGATGGACAAAACTGCTCTTACATTATGAGAAAACAGGGCAAAGTAGGAGACAAGGTCAAAAGTTGAGAGCAAGGGGTGTGTCAGGTTGGAGTTGGGAACTTGAGAGACAGGGGAGGTCTGGAAAGGCTGCTCTAGACCATAATGAGGTGGAGTCAGCTGGGGGCGAGGGAGAGCTGTGGGGCAGCTCTGAGTGCCTAGATGAGGTCTGAAAGCATGGATTCCCGAAGTCAGAGAAGACTTCAAGACTTTCCTCAGCCATATGCCACACAAGGAAGTGGAGCAGCAGGATTACCCAAGGGCTCACCCATGGTTGGGTATTGGCTAGACCAACGTGGGAGGTCAAGGAGGCCAAGGCGTCCCAGCTCTCTAGAGCAAAGTTGAAGTGAGTAACCAGGAGACTCGATTGACACCTGCAAAGGACTACAGGTTGGTAGGTGTCGCCTATTCTTTTGAGAACAATTACAAATTTCTCTGAGCTTTCCCACTTCTCAAAAGATTGGAATTGAAGATCATATGACTTCTGGAGAGTAAGAACTCACAAGGTGTTAGAAATTGTACAAAGAAGCACAATCCAAAGCCTCACAGCTATTTTAAAATCAAATACCTGTCTAATTAGAAACAATCTATGACTGCCTTAAATTTTAGGAATTAGGAATACAGTCGCTTAAAATTGATTGATGCATAATATGCAGCTGCCTTCAGGGCATTGTTCTCAGTGGGACAGATGCCGCACTCACGCTGTAGTTTCTAAGCTGGAAGGAGATTTAAAGCGGAAGTAGAACTTCCTGAAACACTGGTGAGAGGCAAAATAGGTCTTTGCACTGAGTGGGTGTTCCAAGCTCAGATCTCTTGCGGCCCTCGAGTATCTGTCTCCCCTTAGCCTTACTGGTGCATGTCACCGCACAGGTGTTTAGTAAAGGCACCCAGGTGAGGCCGGTATCTGCAGGTATACACAGGAGGGAACAATGAAGGGAAGGTCAAGGAAAGACCCTGCCTCTCCAATCGGCAGGCCTTGAAGTAGTCAAAGGGAGCAAGTGTCTGGGTTGACAGCCCTGAATATTCCCAGGGAGAACCTGGGTGCTGCCTGGCCCCATGCTCCTGACGGCCGAGGCTCCCAGCATTTCTCTGTCTTTCTCTCTCTCTGCCTGGGACGCTGGGAGTCCATGGAGCTCATTTCGTACCCCAAGTGAGGACTCAGGTGAGCTGTCTGCCTGACTTATTGTTAGGAGTCCCCCGCCCCAAGGGCTCAGTCCTGCCCCACCTTTCCTCTCTCATCCTGCTTTCCCACAAATTTTCCGAATGTCCCACCCTGCCTGGCACCCTTTTCTCTCTTCTGCAGTTCAGAAGCTGCCTACAGTCCTATTTCTGAGGTTCAAGCTCCCCTAAAATTATTGACAAGGACTAGTGGAGACCACTTGTTCTCACTCTAATTAAGACTTGCCCTCATGAAGGCTGCTGAGACACCGTTAACTGCTCCTTCTCTGCCCCTTCCTGGTGTGGTCCTGCTTTGCTCCCAGCATGCTGTGCAGCCGGCATCCTGCTCTCTAGTTACAGCCCCCTCAGGGAACTGATGCTGTCAAGGCTTTTTAAGTTATCAAAGACGTTGCTATCTATGGAAAAGGCTTGATTATTCCTCTGGACCCTATATTTATGCTAAAATTGTTTTCTTCACTACAACTTTTCTTCACTACACCCTGGTGTGAATTATTTTTTAAAGTGCCAGTAAACTACTGAAATGCCTACTTCTATATCTCATAATGCTATGAAGTATTTTTTTTCTTTTGTAGACATATTTTTAAAAAAGTCAATGATATGTATGCTAATGTATGACAAGTTCCCAATCTGGGGTGAAGAAGAAAATGAGGGAGCTTCAAAATTCTGGATTTCTAGACTGAAAATTCCTCTTAGGGTCCTCTCTACCTTCACCTCTCCCAACTCTTCCTAAATTGAGCAGGTATGAGATTTTTATAGACCTGTCCAAAGAGACACCAAGACCAAGAGAGGTTCAGATGAGCTTCAGTTTAGGCTGGAAATCAGCTGTAGAATTTGGAATTAGGAATTTGGTTAGATTTCTACATCTTAGTGGCCAGTCTAAATCTCAGCATGATGAAACATGGGGTTGTAGAAATCAGCAAGACACAACCTTGGAATAATGGCCAAGTCAATTCATTTCATAATGTTATGTGAAATTGGAAAGGTTGGGTAATTCTTTTTCAAAAGTATGTTTAATTTAGGCCAAATGTTTTTCAGAGTGGATAATTTAAGTGGTAGGCCTTTTCATGCACTTATGTGCATATGGTTCTTTTTTTTGATTCTTAGAATTAGGTCCTGCAAAATTATTTCCTCTTTGTGGCCACTAAAAAACCAAGTCGCAAGCAAAATAAACTATAATTTATAGACTATAGCAGAAAAATCTCTATAATTTTTTAGTAATCAAAAGAGAACTCTAAACCTTCATAGTAACATCTAACAAAGATGCCAGGAAAGATTTAGGGTTTTTCACATCAGATTCAATCTTCTTGCCCATAGTACACCTACCATTTATCATGCTTATATTAATATCTGGCACTGAACTGAAGCAGGAGGGGGAAATTACATTTTATTTCTTTGTGTTTAAATTCCCACCTAATAGTAAAAGGAGATAGATCAGATTTATTAAGTAGTTATTATTAGGCAGAAAGCCATGCTGACTGCAAAAAACAACTTGAATCTCATTAATTATACATCATGGGACCAGGGTACTTGTGAACACTGAACCCATGTCAATGTGAAGAGCTCACAGAGAATTCTTAAACATCTTTGAGATCCATGAAATTCCCTTTAGATTCTCTGTTATTCAATATTTATCCTCCCTAGTATGAATATGGTACATTAAGTAACTGTAGTAATTATAGTTGTTTTTTCTAGAAGTGTGGAAGTGCCTGACAATTTCTCTTATCAATACTTAACAATAGCACATCAAAAAGGCCTAAAATAATACTAGAAACCCTCCTTCTACACAAAGGATCCAAGTCAAAAACATCAAATAGATTAGGCCTGGAATCGCCCAAAACACTTGAACAAATTTGGGCAGGTGAAGACAGTAAGAAAAGGCACACCAAGTGATAGAGTGTAATACGGAGACTCCGATTAGAATAGAAGATTATTTTTCACAACCCACAAATATTCCTCCATGACCTTAGAAGCCTGCCCTTCCACCTATCTCTCTAGTCAGCACACTCTTAGGTCAGCCATCACATTCAGGACAGCTTTTGGGCTACCCTGACATGCTCTCAGGGCAAGGGGTAGACTAGTCCAACCAAATCTCATGTCTATTCAAGTCATATTCCATAAACAATTTCTGCAAAGCATAACCCTCCCTTTGCCACATAATGAGGGCTGTGGACAATTTTCCCCAGCTTAGGCCTGTGTACGGATTATGACTCTGTGCACATACATAGAAAACTAGCTCAAGTAGCAACTTTGAGGGCAAAGCAAATGCACTCTGGTTTAAACGAGTCTCTTGTCGTCAGGTGTAATAAATGCAAACAAACCTGGCAACACCATACCTTTCTTCCATCGAAACTTCTTTCATCTGCTGGTGTGGTTTGGTGCCTTCCATTTCCCTGATGCTCACAGCATAGATCTTGGTGGTGTAATCAATGGCCTTTTCTCTAGCAACATCACTGTCATAGCCTCAAACAACAGAAAGAGATGGGGAGCGGAGTTGGTTTGCTGTGGCACAGGAGGGGATGTGAAGGAAGGTGCAGTTAGTGAGTAGCAATTGGGGCTCACCTCCATCCTCTTCCACGTCGGTGTCCGATTCCTCACTGTCCACCAACTTACTCTCCTGGGTCCCCACAAACTCCCTTGTCCAGATCATCAAGGCTGTGTCAGCGCCGCCAACCGTGAGCAGCACAGAGTCATTGTGCAGCCATCTCACATTGGTGACATGTGCACTGTGCCCTACATACTTCTTGAATCTTGCGTGCTGGCCCTGTAAAGCCAGAAATTCGCAATTACCCCATCTGGAGTCTCATTATTTCTGTCTCTGGACTATTTCATACATGCTATTCTCTAGGGTGGCTTCTACTGGATACAAATGAAACAGTTCATGTAAGTGGCAATTGCCCTACATTTCTCTAGAATGCAAGCTCCATGAGGGCAGGAACTAGGTCTCCTTTTTCCCTAAAGCATTACCTGGCTCATCATAGGTTCTCAATAAATAGTTCGGAAGGAAATGAAAAAACTTTTAGACTACAGAACCTATTTCTGGGAGCCTAAGGACGTATAAAAAGCTTGTTTCTGTTTCTCTCAAATATCAGATGTGCATTCTCCACAGGTCTCTAGTGTGAACTCCTGATTGTGGGCTGACTGACATTTGAGATCAGAGGTCTCTACCCAGTCATCCTCCACAGTGGCTTCTGTTCCACAGCCCAGGCTATGACAGAAGAACAAGGAACTTCCTATAATCCTGGGGCCTCAAGTAAGATTTAAAACGTACGTGACAGTTTCTGCCACAGACACTGGAAACAACTTCTAATGCTAGAAACACTCAAATAATTGATTTAAAAATGAAGTAAGCACCTTCTCAACAAACATGACCAAATAAATTGAACCCAATTTATTAGTAATTACCGAAAGCTCTTGAGAGTGGTATGCTCAGGGCACACCATGTTTATCCCCAGGTGGCGAAGGATGAGGGTGGAACGTGAGTTAGCTGCTTACTCCAGGGCAGTCCTGACAAGTGGTGGGAAGCCGAAGCTGGCACCAGAAACCAGCTTCCATTTTTGGCTCATGAGCCACAGCCTGGCAAAAACAGCTCCAGTGGAAGTCATTTAAAGAGGGAGAGTTTTTCCATCCTCTCAGCGACTCCCAGGGAATACCTTAAGCAATGTGAGAAGTCGCATGCACTTTCTGAGGTCGTGAGAGGGCCAGTGGTGTCCCAGATAAAATCTTTATTTAATAATTGACAAGAGGCTTCCAGAGAATTTTGGACTGGCCTGTTGGGGAACCTGAAACCAGCACAGACACATGGCAGGAGACAGGTGCAGGAGAGTCCGTGACTTTGAAATACTCTTGGTCAAGATTGCTCTGTATTCGGCTGACCCCTACCTGACAGAAGAGCTGAACTGCCCACTCCTCAGCAGAGTACCGAGTCTAGAAAGATTAGGGAAGCAAACAGGCAGGTAGCATTTCCAAGCAGTCCTGCAGAGCCAATAGGTGGAGCAAAATAAGGACCTCCAAGGAAAACCACTGTGTGAGCATGTGAGATCCAGAAGGCATGGAAACAAAGAGACAGTCATAGTGGCTACAGCCATGTGTCTTCCTGCTGGAAGCAGGAACCTGCCCACTTTATCTACTACAAATGCAAGCTGGTTTCTTGAGAGGAGGAGAAAGTAAAAGAGCTGAGAAATGCCTCTCTACATTCCTACTTATATGAGGGAACACAGGGTCTCTAGACAGGAGAATTCAAAAAGAAAGCTTCAGGGAAAAAAGTATTCTAAGGTGATCAGAATTGGGTTGCAGGGGGAAAGAAAGCGACACAGAGAAGAAAGAGAAAAGAGGAAAAAATTCTGATTCACTGGAGCTATTTAACAAAGCTGAGATTCTTCCAGTAGAGGGTGAGTCAAGATTCTCAGAATAGGAAACAAGATCACTGCTCCATTGAACAATAAAGGGAATTTAAAGTTACCAGAAGGTTCCAGGAAATCCCCTTCCTCCCCCAGGAGGAAGAGGCTGGCAGGGATGTTTGGTGGCTCCCTTGGAGCCTATGGAAGGAGCCTCCTAAAGACCTGGCACAGCTGGTCAGATGAGCTGTCTTTCTGGGTCATCATGCCAAATGACACATTTCTACAACACCCATCAGGACTTGCTACAACAACTTTCCCCTTTCATTGAGTCATGGAAGAATAGAGAATCTGGAATATATCTCTAGAATGCTGGTTGTTAACTGCTTTCAGTGAGAAATTCCTGAGAACCTGACGAAAGTTATGTACCTCACATTCACAACATTTCACATACAGTATCTCTCTCTGTAAAATTTTACTTACAAGGTTCCTCTTTGAAGAACCAATCTCTAGAGCCTTTGATGTTCTGAGAAGGAAGCTTAAGAACTTGAGGGTGGGTTTTAAAAATGTAAATGACATGGTGGTATTTTAACCTCTGATATAGTGGAAGGGTACAGCTTTGGAAAGGAAGGGAGGCTCTGGGAAGCAATCAGCCAGCTAAATAGATGGAGTCAAAGGACAGAGTTGGGTTTCTGGTACACGGTTTAAAGTACTGGAAAAACAGGGGCCGGCCCAGTGGTGTAGTGCTTGTTTGCACTCTCTGCTTCAGTGGCCCGGGCTTCACCAGTTCAGATCCCTGGTGCAGACCTAGTACTGCTTATCAAGCCATGCTGTGGTGGCATCCCACATAAAATAGAGGAAGATGGGCACAGATGTTAGCTCAAAGACAATCTTCCTCAAGCAAAAAGAGGAAGATTGGCAACAGATATTAGTTCAGGGCCAATCTTCCTCACACATACACACACAAATAATTTTTTTAAAAAGTACTGGGAAAATGGGTGAGCTCTGGCAAAGGAGAGTCTATCTCATGGAGACTAGAAACAATTGATTATCAGGGGACTAATGACCTCATCAAGAAGATTTTAAACTGTAAAACTGAATATACAAGGACACGTTTGTCAAGGAAAGAAAAACGCCTGGAAGAGAGGCCTCGTAACTCACAGGAAAGGAGAACAGGAAAACGGTCAAGAAGACGACACTATATTAGAGTCTAACGAACGGATTTGAAATTTTGACAGAGAGAGCTGTGTGGTGATACTAAGACCTCATAAATATCACCATGACTTGATGACATGGAACTCAATGCTAGAATACTGCAATGGGATGATGTCTCAGCTGGCAGGGCTGCCCTAACAAAATACCACATGCTGAGTGGCTTAAACAACAGGAATTTATTTCTCACAGTTCTGGAGTCTGGGGTTATGACCAAAGTGCCAGTCAATTTAGTTCCTGGTGAGGGCTTTCATCCTGGCTTATAAACACCTTACATGAGCACATAGAAAGTATTCATGTGGCCTTTCCTCAGAGTGTGTGTGTGTGTGTTTGTGTGTGTGGACAGGAAGTGAGCTCTTTGGTGTCTCTTCTTATAAGGACACTAAATGTATCGAACCAAGGCCCCACCCTTATGATCTCATTTATCTTTATTTCCATCAATGCCCTCTCTACATAAACAGTCACATTGGAATTTAGGGCTTCAACATATGAATTTTGGTGGGGGACACAAACATTCGGTCCAGAACAGATGGTGAACTTTGTCCAACAGACCCAGAGCATTGGAGAAGTGTGACTATACAGCTGGAAATATTCATCAGCCTGGGTCCATGTATTTGGGAGGAAGAGCGTGCCAGAAAATTCAAATTGAAAAAACGGTGAAAGAGAAATGATACTATCAAAGTAGTTTATATTGGCCAGTGGTTTTCAAATGCTTTTAAATTCTGACACCATTTCTTCAATCAAATCTTACACAGTAGAAACCCAAGAATAAAAAGATAATCCAATTTAAAATAGTGGGCAAAAGATTTGTACAAACACTTCACAAATGGCCAATAAGCAAATAAAAAAGTGCTCAGCATCATTACTGATCAGGAAAACATAATTACAAACACAATGAGATCATACTACTCCCTAGGACAGCTAAATTTTACAAGTCTGACAACACTGAATGTCGGTAACTGGAACTCTCTTACATTTTTGGTGAGAATGTAAAATGATACAACCACTGTGGAAAAAGGTCTGGCAGTTTCATAAAAAGCTAAACATAGATTTTCTCCTATGACCCGAAATTTCACTCCTACATATTTACTTAAGAGAAAGAAAACTTATGTCCACAAAGATTTGTCCAAAAATGGTCATAGCAGCTTTATTATAACCAAACACTGGAAAATCATGTGTCCATTGATAACCATGTGGATAAACAAATTCTATTATATCCATACAATGGAATTCCACTCAGCTTTAAAAAGGAACAGACTATTCTTACACACAACAATTTGGAGAAATCTCAGAAACATCTGAGTGAAAGAAGCGAAACACAAAACAGGACCTACTTGATCATCCCATATGAAGTTCTGGAACAGGTAGAACTAATCTATGGTTAAAACCATTGTAACAGTTTTTTCATCTGAGAGTGGAGTGGGAGTGGAGTTTGACCTGGAAGTTAGCATGAGGAAACTTCCTGAGGTGATGATAATATTCTACATCTTGATAGGTGTTTGGATTATATAGGTGTATGTGCTTGCCAAAGCTCACCAAAAGGAACCCTACAATTTGTGCCTTTCAACTGTATATAAATTTTACTTAAAAAGTACCACAAACAAATGTTGAACTCTAGGTAATGATATATGCATGTTGAAACATTTAGGGGTAAGTATCCTGATGGCTACAACTAACTTTCAATTATAGAATCCAGGTGGTAGGTTTCTAGGAGTTCACTTTATCATTCTTTCGTCTTATTTGTATGCTTGAAAAATTTTCATAAGAAAATGTTGGAAAAAATCTTACACAGAAGCCCAATGTATAAAATACAAAACACAGAGTGACTCTGGCTGAAGCAGAGACAGGGCCCCAGAGCCCCTTTACTTGGCCCCTCCCTTGTTTCCTGGGGTTGTCCATGAGGAACCTCCCTAGAGCTCTGGGAGTCTGAGGAACACAGCCTGAAATTGGTGCTATAGACAGTACACCTGGTCAGGCTGGGACGTGGATGATGAATTTCCAAGACCAAAAATAAATCTAGAGCAGGAGCATGATGCAATAGTATTACGGAGATTTCAGCGATCTGAATATCTGCCAAAACCTTAGTCTACTGATACAAGGGTATCGCTAGTTTTTTGACTTGTCCTGCGAGCAATCTCATTTCCAAACATGTAGAAGTAGCACAGAAAACTGCTACATAGAACTGAATTCTGAGCAAATAGGGAGGGCTGGTAAGTGACAGGGACATGATGGATCTTTGGGAGAAGGCCACAAGGTGGCTTTGAAATTTGAGATATATAATGAAGGGAATGTGGACACAATCAGAAGTGAATCTTAGAAAAGGCTACCAAAAATTATTACCTGAACAGACAATAACAAATGAAGAAGGAAAGAGGAAGGCATCTAAAGAAACCAAAGTGGCTGCAGAGGCAACTGGGATGCTCAGGTTTTAAATGTACAAATGACAGAAGGAAGAATGAAAAACCAAGGATGAACACAAAAGTCTTGCACAGACAACTTTAATATAGTTTCTGGAATGCTAAAGTCAAAAACTAAGACAACTGAAAAATATTTTAAAGCTATATATTATAAAGATACATAAACATTACAAAGATACTAAAGATATATAAAGGTAGATTTTAAAGATATATTTTAAAGATACATTAAAGCAGATTTACTTTTCCATTAAAGAGAATGCTCTTCAAACCAGAAAGGCCAAAATAGAGTTCAAATACTTGAGTACAGGTGCCTTCAAATGTCACCACAGAAATAAGGTCAGTAATCGCCGAGGAGTTTAGAAACCAGGAAAGGCGGCATCAGGCATAAAAAGGTCCCTGTATCTAAAAGGGAAAACAAGTACACTCTAGCAAATATTGATCCATGAGTTGATGCAATGCCTGGAAAATATCTAGGGTGAATTATTACACAGAAGATCGATAAGCACTTGGAAAGAGTTACCAGGCAGCAACAGGGGTCCACTGTACTAACCCCGTATCTTTTATTGATGGGTTTATCAGAAGGAGAGATTAGGGGTACCAGAGACACAATCAATCTGGTTTTTAGCAAGATATTTGCCAAGTCTTTAATGAAGTCTTGTTGGATTAGAGATAGAAGGGTGAGCATAGTCAGATAGATTTATTGTTACTGATTGAAGAACTGTAACTAAATGTGTGCTTTAATAAATAAAATGGCAAGTTGAACAGGGGCTCCTGGTGGTGGTGTTTGGTTGTTTTAGCCTGTCTTTTTTTTCTTTCTATAATTAGAACTGACACTTGTGAAATCAGAGGATGATGTGATGCTGGAAGGGAAAGCAAATAACTTTGAAAAGATATTTTAAAAATGTTGACAGGTTGGAACAATGAGATGAAATAAACAAGATGAATCTTATTTGCTACAAACATAAGTTCTGTACACAGATTTTAGAAAATCAATTTTACAAGCACAAGATGGGGGATAACCTGAACATCTTGGGAACAGTATCTATGATTCAATTGTGTAGTGTTGCAGCCAAAAGAGTTGATGCTTTAGTTCAGTTTAACACAAACAGAAAAGCAGAACAAGAAGGTAAGAGCCCCACTATACCATGAGCTGGTCAGATGACATCTGAAGCACTGAATTCAGTTTTAGATGAGATAGTTTAGAATGGAATTGATAAAGTAGAGAGTGCTTAGAGGGAGGGGGCAGCTGGAAACCATGCCATATGGGAACTAGCTGAAGGAACTGGAGATGTTTAGTCTGGAGAAAATGAAACTTCAGGGAGTCAAACACAATCTTCCTATATATGAAGACTGTGAGAGGATTGGAGTTATTCAGCTATAATTCAGAAGGCAGAACTTTGGCTAAAGAGAAAAAAATTTCAGCTCAATAGAGAGCAAAACATTTTAACAATTCGAGCTATTTAAAAATGAATTGGGCTGCTTTATGAGGTAGTAAGTTCGCCATCTCTGGAAGTATGCTAGCACATGTTAGAAAGGCACGGGTCCAAGACGTAAAGAAAATTCATACTTTGCAATTTGTGAGATGTTGGATTTGATGACCACTGAAGGCCTTTCGAGGAGGAATTCTATGCCACGGGAATCTGACTCAAATTAGTAAACATAATGTAATGAAGGTTTTTACATAGCATAAATAACAATGATACTGTAGATAACATTATTGATTGCTTATGCCTTTGATATTTAGAAATCCACTTAGATACAACAGATAGATTTTGGGTTATTAATGAGACTGAGCAAGTACAGGATAAACATGAACATTACCTTGACAGGATATGAAAAAAGCTTAACGAAACCAAAATCATCTCCAGTGGCTAAGAGGGAACAGTCTTTGGTAAGACTGGCAGCATTTACATCAGTCACATCGCTATGTGCTGGCCAGATTCCCTCACAGGTGGGCCCCAGGACACAGGTCCACGTGTCCCACTCTATCTTCTCAATCTTAAAAAGAAGGAAAGAAAATTAATATATTTTTGCACAGCCTAGAGATCTTTTTGTTTTACTTAAAAGAAACAATTGAGGCTGAGTGGTTCTTCATGATGACTTTGCCAACATCAGGCATTGGTGTTGTGCGCTCAGGTGCACAAGTTGTAAGTTACATTTTTCAAGTGGTATATGCATTGTCTTCATAAAGCAACACTGCAGACAAATAGCCATATATTTTTCTCTAGATAAAATGAACATTTTGGAGTTGTAGAAATCTGACAATAATACAAGTTTTCACTTCTTACCTAGATATTTATCATTGTAAAAACCATAAGCTAGATCACGATTTCTGAACCTCAGCACTATTGACATTTCTGGCTGCATAATTCTTTGTTGTCAGAGGCTGTCCTGTGCATGGTACTATGTTCAGCAGCATCCCTGTCCTCCATCCACCAGTTGCCAGTAGCATCGCCTCCCCAAGTTGTCCCCAGATATTGCCAAATGTCCCTGAGGGAGGAGCAAAAATTGCTCCCAAATGAAACCACTGAGCTAGACTGATCAATAGGGCTGGTCATTTAGCAAACATTTTAAGAAGTTACAAGATATAACTTTTTTTTTTTAAGGACTGCTTCTTTGGAGGAAAGAGTAACAAGATCCTGCAGCTAGCTTAATATCCTTTATGCTCCCTAGAGACTATCTCAAAAATCTGAAGAGCTGTTCATATTGTGTAGCCATGAAGATACATATTATCCTTTAAAACATATTATCCTTTAAAATTCCTGGACAGAAGATTTTCAATTTGTATAGGTCAAATCCTGATAAAATCGAGGCTTTTCTCTCCTTTTTATTAATAAAACAATAATAAACAAAAACAAGAACTCTGTGTATTAGACTGTCCTGGGGGATTTGATCTCATTTACTTTCATTCAAGATCTGCTAGTACATCTTAGCATGACAGTTTCTTGAGATAAGCGTTTTACAGCACTATTTAAGAGGGTGTAAAAAAATCATGAGAGAATTGTAGCTAAAATTAAAGGCCAGACGGCTCCGTTTGGATGTGGAAACTGCTTTGCATATTGTTAATGCACCTCGCCTCCATTTCTGTTTTCTGCTTGCTGTCAGTGCTTAGAAGAGAAAGGACAAGATAAAGATGCAGCCAGGATTTTGGTTTTAGTCACTCAAATTTCTTTTCATTTAATGTTCTCTCTTTCTTCTGGACACATGCAGAACTGGAACCAAAAAGCTGCAGCTGGCCCTGGTGACCCGGGGTGCCTCAGGCAGGGCCACAGACTGAGGTGACAGGAGGCAGTTCCCCAGCAATTCCCTCAGATTTCTGAGGTACAGGTGGAGTCTCTCTAACTCCTTATGACCTTCACAGGAAGACAAGCAGGGAACTACCCCTGCTGGTTCTACAAGCAGGCTTTCTGGCCACTGACTGCCTTCTAGGTTCCAGATTCCACTTCTGAGACCCTCCTTGTCCATCCCCACTACCAGCTCCCTGCGAGGCCCCTTTCCTGGCCTCCTTATTGGGGCAGGAAAGAGGAGTAAGCTGGTATTGCTCACCTTCAGTCACCCCAACAGAATACCCTTGGCCAGGTCTGGACGCTGTGCTCTTTAGAGGAAGCAAAGGTCTAACTAGTTGGAAGCTACAGAAACTGCATTTAAAATGGAGCAGTAAGAATGACCCCTGTAATCCACACAACCCAAACGGGGTAAACATACTTGCTAAAAACCCAAGAACTTAGATGGAAGGAAAGCCCTCAAGGGGTCTCTTCCATAGCACATTCCTCAGGCAGAGATGTCATTATCATCATCATTTTTCAGAGGAGGCAGCTGGAGCCCACAGAGAGGTTAGCCCCTTCCATCATAGCTGGCTGAGGAGGTGGAGGGGAGGTGGAGCCCCAGAGAGTCAGCCTCCTAATGCAGAGCAGCTTTAACTGCACCACGCTGCATCAGATGGGTTTAAGTGGACATTTTAATATTTGTCATACTTAACAATTTGCTAGACAAGCTTTGATTACTTTCACTATGGCTGTTTCTTAAAAAAAATTTTTTTTCTTCTTGAAAAGGAGATTTTCAAAATCCTTCATACTCTATTGAAGGGCCTGATAATACTGGTGATTAAAACAATGAGCTACCTTTTCGGTGCTCTCAGTAGTGGCAGTACCAGGGAGGCCAGGACCAGGAGACATCAGCTGGAGGGAGCCCCCAGCCAAGAGCACCAGAGACGAGCCTCTGGATAACAAATGTGCACCGCAGAGTGACAGATTAACTCTGCAGAGCCAGAGCCTGGCATTGCGGGAAGACTTATAACACGAATTTCCCTCTTACATGTATTCTTCTAAGTAATAATTGCTCATCTGTCCCAAGCTGGTAGCATCCCCCTCCATCATTTGGTTGAACTGTACTTTATTTTAGTATGCTTACTTTGGGGCACTAGAACAGGATGGGAAAATATAGGTGAAGTGACATAAAATGATACTTAAATACACAAGAGAAATGCAAGAGGCCGTGTGGTCTAGGCAGTGAGTGACCCATGGACCCCTCTAGACTGGGACCACAGTTCCACGGGCCTCTTACTCTCCTGGATCCTTTATTTCCTTATCTGTAAAATGAGACTGACAACTACTATGCAAGACTGTTGTGAGGATTAAAACACAGGTATGTGACGTGCCCGGCACCTTCAACAGATGTTCAGTGAATGATTGACATATTAAGATATCCCTTACTCAAGGCTATAAATGTTTTTCTGTTTAAAAAAGTTAAAAAGAGGACTGATCAGAGATAAATAAAGTGGAATTGAGGAGCGAGATCAATTGATCAGTAAACAGTTTCCATTAATAAAATGCCATCATCTAAAACAACTCATGAGTCTTAAGCACTATGCATATACTTCCTCTAGAAACAATGAAAACGTTATGACTGTGCACATGTGCAAATATCTCTGGGAGCACTTTACAACCCTGGGCAAACTGAAGCTAGAGGGAGGCAGGTGCTTGGCCCTCAGCGGCATACTCTCACTCACTTTTCCTCAAAGGAAGTAATATTTCTTTTTCATCAAAGGTTACATAGCAAATAAATGAGCCAGATTGTCTCCCGGGACTAAGGGGACATTCTTAGTGCTCAATCAGACAATGACCTTTTCGCCATCAGGGTCATTTCATGAAAGAACTATACCACTGAACTTGCAGGAAGGCCGTAGATGATAAATTCAAAAATTTTGAATCTATCTAGGCTTTGATTTCAACAATGAAAAAATTACGTATGTGGCTAAGGACATGAGGAAAACACAAAAATAGAAACAGTTTGATACATTAGGATGGTCAGGTTGGGAATAGTTTGTTTTGAAAAATAATTTGTCTTGTTGCAGAAGATACTGTTTATTATTACAAACAGTAAACATTGAGAAAGTATGTTTCAAAACTTATGTTCATAAAAAGCTTTGCATAAAACACATCATGTCCAATGGAAAAGTAATATAGAGGATCCAAATTGTTAGCTTAAGCATTGTCTTTGGGCAGAGAAAAATTAAGCAGAATCCCAACTGCATATTGTTACATCAGTGTATTATAGTAAATCCGTACGTTTTCAGAAAGGAGACCAGATTAAGCAATTAGATTTGAGAAAGGATCAAGGTTAAAGGTACTCTAAATGTAACCCACACGAGTGCATAGGAATTGATAGGTTTTATTAAAACGCATATATTAAATCTTTACGAAGTATTTTTTAAAAAGCTTTGTGTATGATTGTTACCTCCGAGGGTCTTATTATATGCCGTTTGCCTCTTGGAGCTTCAAAAAAGAGTTGTTCTTTGGCACCCGAATTTACTTGTAATAATTTTCCTGTTATGACAGAATGGAGTAGAGAGACAATTAAACTCTGCATTTATCTTTTTATTATAAAGTGATAAGCATGATCGCAAATATTTTGATTTATTTTAATCAAAGTCTCATAAATTGTGTAAATATATATTGAACTATCCAGAAGTGCATGTAAAGGCAGTTACACAGCATGGTATAAAGCCCAAAGCAATGATTTTTTCAATAAAATCTGACCTTGAACATTTTTAAAAAATAGAAGAATCAAGCTTGTTACGTTTTACTCTGTTGCACTGAAAATAGCTATTTTTCCAAAGCCCGGCACAATCTATTTTTTGCTCTTTTTCCCTGTTGCCTTCTGGCACAGAGATGTAGTAAAAGCAAATTGCTTTGGCAAGAATTATGGCATTGGAAGTGAGAACCTTGTTGCAAGTATTTGTATTTATTCAGGTCTAATTCTAAATTTGCCCTTTAAAGTTTAGAAACAGCTCATTCCCCTTCCCCCATCTTACTTGAAATTTTGTAAAGAAATCCAAGACTTTCCTAAAAACAAAATGTTGAGCAAAAACAGTCTTTGTCTGATGTAAAATTATAGTCTTGGATTCATTTTGATAAATGTTGAAAAGATTAGATTTCCTAATCCTTCTCCTACCACATCAGTAATCCTTTATGACTTGAAATTTAAATGACTCAAAATATATACTTCCCAGTATTTTTTTCAGCATTTTTTAACTATGGAAAATTGCAAACACATATGGAAACAAGAATACTATAAAGAACACTTATGTACCCAATGCCTAGCTTCAACAGTCATTGGCACATGGTCAACACTGTTTCATGAATCTCCACTCATTCCCTCATCCAAGATTATTTTGAAGCAAATCTCAGACACCCTAATATTTCATCTGTAAATAATTCAGTGTGTATATACATAATAACATTTCTTCCTCCTCTCTTTTTTTTCCCCCATAACTATGTACATTTAGTAGTCTTGAAATGTCCTTCTTGGAAAAATAATACCAAAATAAGAAATTCATGTTCTTTAACATTTAGGTGGGCACCCCAGGTCTGAAATCTGGCATGTCTAACCTTCAGGAGTCACAGGTCTATTTCTAAGTAGCCTATTAGAAAAAGATTCTCTCATTTCTTAACTGATAATCTTAATCATTTCTAATTTGTTGAGTTATAACATGGTGATGAGGGAGTTTTGCCTCAGCTGTGAGGAGCAAGTGGATTTGAAAATGTTTTCTCTGAAATGGGCCCCTTTTCCTGACTTTATGGTTGATAATACACTAATGAGAAAAGAAAAAACTGAGTTAAACTACCTTTGGTTATTTAACGTCACAAGAAAATGAGTGATCAATATATTTCCAATGAACCAACTATATTTGCAAAGCATATTTTTAGGATTCTCAAGAGTGTCTGCAAATGACAAAGGATCTGCAAAAAGGATTAAAGGGGTCAATGAAAACATTCTCTGAATGTGGCTAACTTTAGAGGATTTTGGGCCATGAGATCCTAGAGAAATCAAAGGATTGCAATTCTCAGATAATTCCAACAACTCACTTTACACCATAGTTTCAAAGATCATACTTTATTTAAAAAAAACACCCCAAAACTATTAAAATATCTAAGTGAGGTACTTTATGATTGCAAAAATATGAGAAAATCTAACCACAATAAACACGCACCGGAAGTGCTGTGTAGCCCTGTGGACACCTGTAGGTACCCACACCCATGCCCCTTCGCTGAAAACTGTCCTCACCAAGGGCTGGGCCCCTGCAGTTATGTTTGTGCTCTGGAGGTGGGTGCTGACCCAGGAGGGGCTAGGTTGGAGCCTGGGCTGGGCAAGCAAATTCTCTCTTCTGGGAAATTGGAATCTGGGAGGCTCAATCAGGGGGTGCCCAGCTGGGAGTAGATGTGGACTTTGAGACTGAGGGTGGTATTTTGGGGGCAATGGAGACTTGGCCATGTGCAAATAAATTAGGGAAAGCTTGCTTGTGCAGAGAGAGGGGCCAAAAGCAGACACCAGGCCCAGGAAAGCCGTGGACACTGAGACGAGCCGCCTCCGAGCGGGAGACGAGGGGAGAGGAAGGGCTGCTTGGTTTCTAGGCGTTTTCCAGTTCTTTCCTAAAGCCAGTTCCTTGGGAGATGTTGCTTCCTGCTCTTAGATTCTATGAGATATCCCTGCATCTTTTTAATAAACTCATCCTTTATTATTATTTTTAAATTTAAGCTGGTTTGAGTGGGTTTCTGTTCTTTGCAACCAAGGATGTGAAGAAATTTTTAAAAACCCAACTATCCTGTGTTAGGGAGGTGGAATTGTGACTGTGTTTTTTCCACCAAATTTTCTTTACTGCTGTGATTACACTGTCTTCTTTTTAAGCACAGGGGAAATATTTAGGTCACCATTCCCCTTTTTCTTCTGGCTGCTGCTCTGTAATATATAACCACTGAACCATTCTGAGGGCAGGGGCAGAAGCAAAAAGTAAAAAGTGTGCATAATCCCTGTATAATTTGCCCCTGAATAACAGTAACCCTATACTTTCAGAATCTTCACATTTTTATTCACCAGAAATGTCTACTCACACAGAATAAGAGAATTGAAAGAGACAGATGTCCTCATTACTAAGCAGGTATAATAAATCACACATCTTGCAGGTGCACAGAGCTTTATAACCCACAAAATCGTCCCAGTTGCTGTATAATTTATAAGTTAGAACAATTCCAATATTGGTACCAAATTTACCAAACAGAAAATGGGAATGAAACGTCCTCTCATGGCTAAAAATGTTAATTGGTAAAAGATCTTAAAGTCTTGACATTGCTGGAAATGAACAATAGCAGCTAGAAAATATCCTTCCATGTTCTATCTCTCTCCATGTATTTTCTTTCTTTCTCAAGCATTCTGTACAGGAGCTTTCATTCAGGGGTAGCTGATGTTCCTGCAAAAGCCCAATGATGCACTTTTTGGTTTTCCTAGGACTTGTGGTTGCCATGGACACAAAAGGCTGCAGCAGCTAGAGGCTGCGCCACTCCCCACCCGTGACGAACCAGCTGGCTCTGGCAGATGCATTCACTATTTTCGACAAGATAATGTGTTCACTATTTCTGACAGGATCAAAGGAACGAAATCCACCCTTGCTCCTAAATTCTGCTCTCTATCCTTGTCAGACCCTTGAGGCCCTGCTGTGAAAAGCTAGGCTGGTCTTGAGTTAGCATGGCACATTCTTGAGGGCAGGGAACTGGGTTATCAGAAGCACAAGAATATCAAATATGACACATGTCTCATGGCAACGAAATTGGAGTTAAACCAGGGAAGATTCATGGGCACATGTGCTCTTATTCTCAAGACGGTATGATTCTTCCCTGAAAATCAAAAGTATTCTATTCTCTCAGTCCATGGAAACCATTTGGTCTGACCCTCTCATCTGACTGAAGGGGCCACACAGAATGAGAGGTAAGGTGGCTTTTCAAAGACGTTGGCCTCCTTACTCCCAGTGCCTTTTCCATCACCCTTAGCTCTGGTTGGACCACAGAGGCTGGCTTTGCGCAGAATTGTGGAATTGGTGATGTTTGCCTCTTTCCGCACAAAGTAATGCCTCCACATTGAGGGCCTTTATATAGACATTCACCCAGGCCCCTCCATGGGGCAACCCACTGATCCTGGCCAAGATCTTGTTCTTTCCATCTTGGACATACTCCTCTTTATATCCCTAGCTTCCAACACAGGGCCTACACATTTGCAGAATAAAAAAATAATAACAATCCTCTCAAAATGCAAATTAAACTACAATAAGATACCATCTCACATCCATTTTGATAGCTACTATCAAAAAAAAAAACCCCACCAGAAAATAACAAGTGCTGGTGAGGACATGGAGAAGTTGGAACCCTGGTGCACTCTTGGTGGGAATGTAAAATGGTGCAGCTTCTGTGGAAGACAGTATGGCAGTTCCTCAGAAAATTAAAAATGGAATTATCATTTGATCCAGCAATCCCACTTCTGGGTATATACCCAAAAGAACTGTACAACCATGTTCATAGCAGCATTATTCACAATAGCTAAAATGTGGAAGCAACCCAAGTACTCATCAAAGGACGAATGCATAAACAAAATGTGGTATATACATATAATAGAACATTATTCAACCTTAAAAAAAAGGAAATTCTGTCACATGCTACAACATGGGTGAACCTTGAGGACATTATGTTAAGTGAAATAAGCCATTTACAAAAAGACAGATACTATTGATTCCACTTATATGAAGTAACTAGAGTAGTCAAATTCACAGAGACATAAAGAAGAATGATGGGTGTCAGGGGCTGGGGGAGGGGGAAAGGGGAATTATTATTTAATGGTATAGAGTTTCAGTTTTACACAGGAGAAAAGAGTTCTAGAGATGGATGGTGGTGATGGTCGCACAACAATGTGAATGTACTTAATATCACCGACCTGTACACTTAAAGCTGGTTAAGATGGTAAATTTTGTTATGTATATTTCACCACAATTAAAAATAATTTTAGGGGCCGGCCTCATGGTTGAGTGGTTAAGTTTGTGCGCTAGGCTTTGGGGGCCGGGGTTTTGCCAGTTCGGATCCTGGGCGCGGACATGGCACCATTCATCAGGCCATGCTGAGGCGGCGTCCCACATGCCACAACCAGAGGCGCTCACAACTAGAATATACAACTGTGTACTGGGGGGCTTTGGGGAGACGAGGAAGGAAAAAAAGAAAAAAAAGAAGACTGGCAACAGATGTTAGCTCAGGTGCCAAGCTTTAAAATAATAATAATAATAATAATACTTTCAAAGAAATCCTCTCAACAAAAACTTACTCTTCGTATGTCCCACTTTCTCTTAGCTCTTTACCCCCTAATATGTAAGTAATAATTGGCTTTAACGCCTCAATGGTCATCGTACTGGTGGGATTTCACATGTTGTTTCAGGTATTGTGTGTCAGTGTGTGCGCGCGTGCGTGTGATTCTAAATAAAACTTACCGTGCTCTATTCTATGTATACATGAGGCTGGCCCTGATTGTTCTAAATCTTTCTCCCAAAAAGACATATCCAGTGATGTTAGCCAAGAATAAATAGGGGGAAATCACTGCTTTCTTTTTTTTTTAAACAATAAAGCAGAGAATTCAAAGGGGGTTGAGAAGCAGCTGCTTCCATCGACCCCCTCAGCCTCACAGGTTCCTAGATAAGTCTCAGCCAGCTGGTGTCCTGCCCGATCACAAATGCCAGTCCAAGCCCTCAGCACCGTGTCTGGCATGGCCAGCACAGGAAAGTGAGAGGGACTCATGTGATCCCCCTTTGCCCTTGATGGGACTTGCACCTCCTACAATAAATGGCAAGCTTTCTTCCCATATATTGCAATATATAATACACAGGCAGGTTATAAAGCTTAAATAAAGTCCAAATTCCAGGGCAGCAGGTGGAGTTACAACTAAATGCCTGCCTGGAAGAAGGATCAGTCTATAGCCACTACTTCAAGAAATACTTGAAATAAAATATTCTGGCATCTCTGAAATAACCTCTTTTTGGTTGAGGCCCTCATCACCTCTTTCTCGTGGTTTATTTTAGTTGCTTTCCAACTCCAGGCTCACTCCCCCTCCCCCAGTAGACAAGGTAGGGAATGCCCCCCCCAAATCTCTCAGAGTTACCTAATGTCTGCAGGATAAAGTTCAGCGTTAAAGCTCTTAGCTTGATGTAAACGTTCCTTTACGTTCTGTCTCCATCTGCCTCTCTGCATTCCCCACTCCTGGAGATGTCAGCCACTCAGCATCATTCACTATTTCTTAATTCCCCCTGTTCTTCCCACCTCCACATCTTAGCACACCATCTTCCTTTTATCTGGAATGCTCTCTTAGACTTCGCCATCTGGTGAATTTCTGCTTATCTTTCAAGATCATCTTAAAGGTCACTCTTCTGAAGCTCCACAGATTCCCCTGGGAGCTCTGTCCTCAGAGCACATCACTGACCTTGGTGCTTTTCTACCACAGGGGACTAAAACTTCTTTGAAAGCTGGGACCCTGCCCACTCCTAAACACCTGCCCCAAAAGGTAACATCAGGGGGCTGGCCCCGTGGCCGAGTGGTTAAGTTCGCGCGCTCCGCTGCAGGTGGCCCAGTGTTTCGTTGGTTCGAATCCTGGGCGCGGACATGGCACTGCTCATCAAACCACGCTGAGGCAGCGTCCCACATGCCACAACTAGAAGGACCCACAACGAAGAATATACAACTATGTACTGGGGGGCTTTGGAGAGAAAAAGGAAAAAAATAAAATCTTAAAAAAAAAAAAAGGTAACATCAGCAACGTCTCTGGGATAGGGACCCACCCTATAAGCACTGATGCTCTACCCTGGGTGCCTAATGCTGACTTGGCTCATTCTGAACCCCTCTCACCACTTCCCCTGTGATTCACCATTTCTTACGGCCCAGTTTCTACTCTTGTATTATTCAGGTACAAGAATGTCTCCCTCACTAAACTAACTCTGGATCCTCTACATTTTCTGGCTTAAGACTTTGCATATGGTAGAAGCTAGATTTGTTAAATAAATAAATAGACATATCCCCGTGGTGTTTGCGGGTATGACTTGAAGGAGGTTGGGGTAGGTTGGGAGTTTTGGAGAGCAGAGAAACTTTAGGAGAGCTGAATGTAGCTTCTCTCTCTGCTGAAGGATGAAAATTGCTTGAGACTCCTTGGGCAGCTCTCCAGGAAGTGAAGCATTGGTAGGAGAAGAGAAAGTAGGAGGATACATAAGGCAAGGACACAGCACACCAAACCCAAAGGTGAGGTGGTAGCTTGCTATGGTAACAGAAGGCATCATATGTCCTCAATGGTCTTGAAATTCAATGGCTTGAATTAATAATAATTACAGTAATAATAATTTTAAAAGGTGGAAAAAATACTTAAAATGTTAACAGCAGCTGCCTCTGGGTTGTAAAATTACAGCCATTTATACTGTTGTGAGTTTCCCCATCTTTCTCTGAAACTCAATTGCCATCCTCTCTGGAAACAATATAGGAATGGACGTTGACTTTATTTACAATGAAAATTATATTTTAAAAGCCACAACATACTTTACCTCTAGAGTCCCAGTCAATATGTGTGATATAACTTGAAGCACCTTTACAGATGCCAACCCTTTTGCTTGTAAGCACGTTGTAAATATCCACAAAGTTATCATGGGATGCCACAGCAAGGTATTTTCCTGTATCTATAAAGAAAAATGTGCAGTTAACACTAAAACATTTTATAGGGGAATTTACTACCAGGAACTTGGCATTTTAAAATGGGGACAAGATCAAGGAAATATTTTAAACAGTCCCCTCTTGTAACTTTTTGTCCCAATACATTTTTTAAAGTTTTTACTGTCATTTTCACCTTTTGAAAATTTAATATCAGAGATCATTTCTTTTCTGTGATGGAAGGAGACCATGTCTTCAACAGTGTCAGCATTTACAACCAGGAAACTCCCATCATTCAGGCCAACTGCTAAGGCTTTCCCATCAGGGGAGAAGGCACAGCATCTTCCACCTACAGAAGAATCCACAAAGAACACTGTTATTATTCATGACTTTACCATCAAACAAACCAAATGAAAAGATGGAGAAATTTGCATATGTGCTTTATGCATGGACATGTGACTGTGTCTTTAATACTACTCATGAGAACTAAAATTTCATAATTTAAAACGTCTCTTCCCTCCACACCCAAGGACAATGATCATAATGTTAAAAATACATTTTTAATTTGAGTTTCATCCATTTATTTCCTAGTATCTGAATACCTGGGATTTTCAAATGATTAATATAACCAGTATCTTTGCTCCCAAGAGAAGAAGTGATACTTAAGAATGGGAGTTCTGTAATAAAATTTCTAGAAACTAATTTTATTCATCCTGCCTTACACACAAAACTTGCTTTGGAGAACCTTGTTCTACTCTGAGTCATTCCAATTCTCTGATCCATGGATCATAACACACAGTTCTAGAGGTGAAAGATTTTGTTCCTGCCTCTTCTCTCACAAGAGTGGGATATGGACAACATTCTCTCAAGAGGTGTCTGTAAAACTAATCTTGGCCTGACGGTGCTACGTGAGCAATGTTTTCTACTGCTTTGTGGGTCACATGGAGACATTTCTGAATGAGGAGTATGAACTCTGTGGAGCTAGTTTTAATAGGAATCCTATTTAAGAGTATGCCCCTGCCCCCATTCTTATCGTCAAGACTGCTAAGCAGAGCCCCGGGGATGGGACAGTCATGCAGCCTGGTGCTAAGGCATTCCACACTGAGCTTCCATACACACTGCTCAGTCATTGTTCATGGTATGCTGAAAGTTATGTTCATACCAATAACTTTAAGTTGCCTTATCTAAATTACATAATTCATTCATTCATTCATTCACTTAGTGAATAGTTATTTACCTACTATGAGTCAGGCATGATGTTATTGCTGACAGAACAAAAAGATGAGCTTGCCCTTTAGGAGAGTCATCAAGATTAGGCTAACTATATAATTTATTGTACAAACCAGGACACTTTTGAGAGTGAAAGGGGAGAGTTATTAATAATTACACCAGGACAATATCTGTAAACTGGGTTGAAAGGTCATCTTATCTAAGATATGTCAGTTGTTGTTGCTGTTTTTTTTCTTCTTCTTTTCCCCAAAGCCCCCGCAGTACATAGTTGTATATTCTAGTTGCAGGTCCTTCTGGTTGTGCCATGTGGAACCCACCTCAGCGTAGCCTGATGAGCGGTGCCATGTCGGTGCCCAGGATATGAACTGGTGAAACCCTGGGCCGCCGAAGGAGTGCGCAAACTTAACCACTTGGCCATGGGGCCAGCCCCATTAGTTGTTATTTTGAACTAATTTTTAAGATAGTGAATAAAGTCTACTGTCTGATATTCAAGTCACTCACAGTGAGGACTTGGTTCTATCATTTCCCCAATATAAATTAGTGGCCAAATGATTCAGTCTTGTAGTGGTTAAGAGCATGGGCTTTGGAGTCAGATCTGTGGTTGAGTTCTGGCTCCACCACTTACTAAGGCCGAAAAGTCCAGTGTAAAGAGAGGCAATATGGTAGAGGGAGGAAGCGTCATGCAGTGAGCACAGGTGTGCTCTCTGAAGCCACACCATCTGAGTTTGAATTCCATCACTTACCAGTTGTGTGACTTTGGGCAAACAACTTAAGTCCTCTGTGCCTCAGTTTCCTAAATTGTTTGTGGTAATAATAATGGCCTTACTCACTGGGTTCCCATGAAGACCAAACACAAAGTGCTAGCACAGATGCTGGCTCAGCATATTAGCCATACTGTTACTACTAATACTGTTACTACTGTCTTGACACCTTTTTAATTTTATCCCCCTAGAATACGCTCCCCATGTCTCTCTGCTTATAAAACTACTCATTAAAAATACTTTAGAGCCAGACCCCCATATCTCATCCTTTCTTGTCTTAAGAACTTTCACAAATCCTTTAAGCTTCAGCTCTCATGCTCCCCCGCGATGAAGCCATCCCTGCAGCAGGCCTTCCTCTGAGCCTCCTTGGTACTTTGTTTGTGCCAGATATCTTTGGTTTGTCTCTCCACATCTACTCTCCACCCTGCTGTGTGCCTGGAACTGGCCTGCATCAATGGGCTCCCTTGCCCTCTGGCTTTTGATTGGGTTTGGCCAAGGGGAAACATGGGTAGGAGAACGGGACAAAGGAAGGAAGGATAGGGAGGTTGAGATATGTATTCCCCTAGCTGCCTCCCTGCAGGGTCACTGCATGCTGGCTGAGTGCCCGAGCTGATGGTCATAGTTCCTGTCAGGCTGTCATCTCACATAGCTCTCACATTCAAGGTTCCAGCAATTGCTCCCTCCTCTCGCCCCTTCAGGTCCAAGGCTGGTAATGGTACCCAGTTGTTACTAGCTGCATAGTGCCACACTATCCCTAGTCATTTCTTAATATCTTACTCACCCCTTTACAAATAGTCCTGTTTTTAGACTCTCCTCAAATTACCCAATTTGAATGGACCATCTGTTGCAAGGACCATATTCAAATCTTGCCCATCTCTGACACTAGAGACGAGACTGCTCATCTTGGGATCCCCAGTGCCTGACACATAGAATCTACTCAATAAATGTTTGCCAAATTTGTACTTCTTGGCATACCTCTTCGTTCCAGTGCATATAGGTGTTTAATACATATTTACTCATTTCTTGATATTAAGTATTATTTTTCCTATAGCTGACTTTCACTTTTCACTAATAAAATCAATTCTGGAGACTGTTAGACAAAGATAAACAGCATTCTTCACAAGCTGATGTGTTTCAACTGACTCTCACAGCTCTCGAGAAGAGGAAGGACATATTGCCCCCAGGTGGCAAATGTCTGTGCAGTGCAAGGAAAATGAAGGGAATAATAGAGCTGGGCACTGATGGATCAGGCCAGTCTTTCTGGAACAATTCTGTAAGTACTTAGTTATGACTGTAGCAACAAACATCGACTTCCCATTTCCTAGCATATTTTGGGGCCTAAACAGGTGCTCTCAGTAAATATTAGTTGAATGAATGAATGAATCCAACACATTCTGTTGTTTGTAAACACTTTTACAGATGTGTAAGGTGATGCCGTGTACCTTTTTTGAGTTTCCGTACTGCCAGCATGCGGTGCTGGGAGGATAATTCCCAGATGCGAAGCGTTTTATCATCGCTCACTGTTGCACAGATGGGCAGGAGAGGGTGAGCCGCCAGCCCCCACACTTCTCCTTCCATGTGCCCCTGTGGGAGAGGAAACGCGACAACATCAACTCGGTTCACGCTTCTCCTTCCAAGTGCCCCTGTGGGAGAGGAAACGCGACAACATCAACTCGGTTCACGCTTATTGGCTAGCCTTTCTACAGCCTTGTGCTGCAAATTCAGCCCAAGAGTATTCCAAACAGTTCAAATATGAACAAACACAGTTTGAGCTTCCTTGAGCCAAAATGATGGCCCCGAATAATCTTTCCATCTGAACTTAAATGCTAAAGCATTCACTTGGAAAGCAAAATACAGACTCATTGCTTTTAAGCTTTATTTATATAATGCAAAACATCTCATTTAGAAAGATATGGGTGAATAATGAAATTCCCTCATTTTATCCTGTTGTTTAACATTGAATAAACACAGCATTTTTGTACCTTCTTGTAAAACAGCTTGATCACAATGACACAAACCACTTCCTTCAATAAAACCATATTCTGAAAGATGTAGGCACCACCTATCTCTGTCAGAGGAACTGGACGGCAATATTCTTGTTAATTTAATTCAGTTTTAGCCCTTTGAATGTACAGCATTTGGCAAAACAGAAATAAGGAGAGCAAGATTTTCATTTCAAGTGTCCTGGGTACAGCTCAGGTTCAGCATTTCTTCACAAATTGTTCTATCCAGTGAACATCAGAAAACTCCTTAATTAATAGGCATTGGACCAATTCCACATACCTATATCTAATCACCAACAAACTTAACTGGCTTAGAACAATAAGTGAGATAAAACAGTATTAAAAAATGAATTAGGGAGAAAATGAATCTGATTCCTAAAATTTATCACTCAATAAAGCAGAGTAAAGAACAGACTAGTATACACAGCAATAAAACAGACCAGACTGTTTACTGAATTTCTGTTTTCAGTGGCTAATTATACAAAGGCTCTGCTTAGTAAAGCAGAAAGGAAGACTCTGCACAGGCATCCAAAAGGTGTTTGGAGCTGGAATGCTTTGGGGAACAGGTGGCTTTCCAAAGAGAAACTGGATGATTCCGGTTTAACTGGGAAGCTGTTGGAGCAAAACAGTAATTTGGCAGAAGATACAACGTTCCAAATACAGCTGACATTCAAATTTCTGAGAAGGGCTGAAGGGCGGAGATCGTGTTTTTGAATTTATTGGATTTGGAGCACCCTATGTCCCTAGTTTTCTAGTTTTCTTCCCTTCAGCATCCTCCCACTTCCAAGGTCACAGTCAGAGGCTGGGTCAGGAGTCAACCCCCCTGACCCCCAGACTGGATCTGCTTGGAGCTCTTTCACAGACCAAGTCCCTTTGTAAATTGTGCTGGAGGAAAGTTGCAGGGTTCTGAGACTCTTTCAAACCACTGCCTCATATACTGATTTAAAAATTATATTTCCTTAATCTGATTATTTTAATTCCAGTATAACTGGAATGGACAGTGAGCAAGGCAGGCTGGAGGTATCTTGAGTGGCACAAGGAAATGAGCTTGAGCTCTTACTTTCCTACTGATCACCCATAAAGCTGATAATAAAGAGCTGGTAATAAAGAGATAATAATTGAGAATTGATTACATTCAAAATGTGTTTACAATGGGAATTTTCAGAACTCACCTCATGTCACTTTTCTCTTCCCCTAAACTACTTTTCCTTCTCTCAAAAAACAAGCAGTCCATTCCAGATGACATTGGATTGCCATGCTACTGAAACTGGAAAAGTGGTTCTGGTATCTTCCCACAGCAGGATAGTTGATGGTCTTAACCATGCTGCCTCTAGTGTTCCTTAACTTTCCCTCAGTATGTATCCTCTCTCAGAACCGGACTGTGAGCCTCCAGAGAGCAGGAAGCCCTACTCTACCATGGACAGCACATGGCACAGGGCAGAAGTCGGCAGGAGCCCAAGAAACATTGATTGAATTGAACTACTGAGTTCTACCTAGTGACAGATCAGAAGATGAAAGAGAGATGCTGATACAAAAGGAAAAGAATGGTACACATGTAAGAAGAGAAGATGGTTCCACCATCTGCACCGCCAGCCCATAGCTCAGGGGACCGCACCTTCTGCACTGCTTTCCTGCAGTCTCCATGCTAAGAGACACTTGGGGAACAGTCTGTTGTAGTGAAAAAGAAAGGGCTCTGGTATCTAATAAACCTTGGTTTGAAACTCAGCTCTGCAGTTCTTAGCATGTGGCTGTGGGCAATTCACTGGGCTTTGGGTCCCTATCTATGAAACTATTTCAAATGAGCCAATCTGTTGTGGAGAGGAGAGAGAAGGTTTTTTTTTTTTTTCCAAAGATTTTATTTTTTTCCTTTTTCTCCCCAAATACCCCCAGTACATAGTTGTGTATTCTTCGTTGTGGGTCCTTTTAGTTGTGGAATGTGGGACGCTGCCTCAGTGTGGTTTGATGAGCAGTGCCATGTCCGTGCCCAGGATTTGAACCAACGAAACACTGGGCCGCCTGCAGCAGAGCGCGCGAACTTAACCACTCAGCCACTGGGCCAGCTCCCGAGAGAGAAGTTTTATACGCCAGTATTGCCTGACACATACGAGGCACTGAATAAATGTGGCTATTTCTATTATTAGAACAATAGAAACAAATATAGGAAAGAGTAGAATTGCATAGAGCAAAAAAGTGAAAAGTTTTTATTGTCAAGTTTAAAGCATATTTAAACAATATTAGCTCAACTGTAACTTAAATCTTACCGTATTGTTTAAATCATATCATAGCATAAATCTTACAAAATATTTAGAAACATAGCATGTATGGAAACAATTTAAAGTCTAAAATATCTGGGGATTAAAAAGAAATAAACACTTACTTTTCAATAACATTAAATAAGAGGTCATGGCCAGAAAGAAAAAGAAATTGATTTGGAAAGAAACAAGCAAAGCAAGAGCAGCCGGAGAACGAGTCACATCTCAAGGACGCGTCTCCAGCAGAGTTCTCAACCCTGCAGCCTGGCACAGTCAGCGAGAGAGCTTTTCAGGTTTGTTTTCAACACAGAATTTTTCTCTAAACACTGATTCTTGTTCAGGATATCCAAGGTGGGGCTTGAGCACACACATTTTTAAAACCTCACAGTGTTCTGAGCGATGATATGTGTGCAGACCTGTTCCCAGGGTGTAGCAAATCAGAGGACCCCTCTCAGTGGGGTTTTGGGGTTCATCTCTAACACAGCAAGCCCACAGGCATGAATCATGTCAGGGGAAGGAGGCGAAGCTCCTTCACTGGACCACAGAAATCCTGAAGCTTATATCATCAGCATTTTCTTTTACTTCTTCTTTTGAACACACCTTCGCCTCGCCCTGTGCCTCTTCCATCTATAAATAAGTTCTATCCATCAACACATCAGGCAGGACTGCCTGTTCACCTCCACATGCCACTACGCCCTCAGATGAGATTTTATCACTGCTTTGATCTTTGAGGATTTTGTTAATGTTTATTTTAATCTGCTTTTATCTGAATATAATTCTTGAAGGGAGAGGGAGGGTAAGGAGCATGTAATATGTTTATGCAAATCAAGGCTGAGATTAGAGTGAGCACCAAATCTAAAGAGACATTTGTATATTTGGTGTGAGCAGATAACTTGTCTTGTTAGTTTTACAGACTGACAGACCAAGAGGATCTATATCTAAGGAGACTCATCCACACCTGGACTTGACTTAGATGATGAGATTACAGACGCTAGCAGATACTGTAATGGGATAAGGCTCTTGGGGGCCTTGGGAGGGGGGAACGTATTTTGCATGTGGTAGGGACATGAATAATTGGTGGCCAGAGAGCAAACTGTGATGGAAAGACTGTTGAGTGACCCTCAGGATCCTCCTGGTTTTCACACTCTTGTGTAATCACCTCCCTTTGAGTGTGGCGTGATGTGTGGCTTGCTTCTAACCAATAAAATATGGCAAAGGGGATAGATGTTCATGATTATATGTATGTGATGATATGATTATGCTACATAAGATCGTAGTGCCTATTTTTTCTCTCTCCCTTGCTGGCTTTGAGGAAGCAAGTGGCCATATTGGGTAACCCCATGTGGCAAGGAACTGCGGGCAGCCTTTAGGAGCTAAACATGGCCTCTGGCCAACAGCCAGCAAGAAACAGAAGCCCTCAGTCCTACAACCACAGGAAACTGAATTCTGCCAACAACTTGAGTGACTGTGGAAGCGGAATCTTCCTCAGCTGAGCCTCAGATGAGACCACAGCCCTGGCGCTTGTTGCAGCCTTGCCAAACCTTAAGCAGGATCCAGTTAAGCCATGCTCAAATACCTGACCCACAGAAACCATAAGATAATAAATGTGTGCTGCTTTAAGCTGCTAAATTTGTGGCAATTTGTTACACATCTATAGGTAATTGATACAGCACTTGCATGACCCTGAGAGTGAGTGCCTCCCTAAATTTTGTACCCTAAACACCCCGTTGCCTCACTCTAGTCCCAGCTCTGATGTGAACTGTGGTTTAGAATATGTACAAAGACAGTACCTGAACAAGCAGTGTCATTGGGCCACTTTTATCGATTTCCAGGATCTCTCCATTTTTTGTTCCCACCAGGATATGTCCATGTCCCAAAGTGATGGCACGAATTGAAGGGTTATCTTCCAAAAGCAAGCCTGAGGGAAGGCGGGGGGGGCTCATTTTGTATTTAATATTGTAAATATTGTATTTAATAGAACAAAAAATAAAAAGACTGACAATTATACAAATTCTGTTTTATAGTTCCAAAGTACTAGGTACTAGGCAACCATCCTTGATATTTCCATCAGGGGCTGAGAGCTATGAACGTGGAAGAAAGAAAGAGAATCGATTTGGTTATAGTTTTCCAAGAAGGTTAGTACTATCTTTTCCATCCCTATGAACAGAAAGATTTCTATTGCATATTTGGGAGTGGCACCTTTTGAACTAGTAGACAATGCTGCTCTTTTAATGGCATAAGTCTTCAAGCATCTTTCAAACATATCATCCCAGAGCTCCACGATTCCATCCTTTCCACCTGTTACAAAACCCTGTGAAGGCACACATGGGAAGAATTATATACACATCAAAATGACAAGTTACTCACCCGACCTCAAAAGGATTCCCCCTTGGGTACAGCAGCTTTATCTTTGTTTTCTTCCCAAGTATGGGAGACTGGAAAATCTGATGATAATATATAATATGAATATAATATTTTCCAGAAGCATCTCTCCCCTACTTCTTTTGTTTTTGTTGTTGTTGTTGAGGAAGATTCTCCCTGAGCTGACATCTGTGCCAGTCTTCCTCTACCTTGTATGTGGGTCACCACCACAGCATGGCTGACAAGTGGTGTAGGTCTACGCCTGGGATCTGAACCTCCGACCCTGGGCTGCCAAAGTGGAGCACATCGAACTTAACCACTACACCACAGGGCTGGCCCCTCTCCCCTACTTCTCTAGCAGGATTAAGAACATTTTCCTTGTGTGTCCCCTGCACTTTCCTCAGCCCATTGGTTGGCACTTGGCAACCCTGGATCATGGATGGCCATTTCCAAGCCTGGCCCCCCTACTAGAATGTGGGTTCCTATGGAACAGGACCAGCCTCAAAGCCTAGGAGAGCTTCTGGGATTTCATATACTCCTACTGAATGAATCAGAATTAACATCATAATTAAAAATGATTGTTAAATATTTACATCCAGGAGAAAATATCATTATTTATCATTAAGAGTAACTTAGATACTTCATACAACAAAACTATCCTGCTGATTTGTTCAAGTGACATCAATTTCCACAACAATTAAAATCCTGATTAATTTTTACAAAACCTGGAAAGTAAAAAGCTTAACATATTGGATATTTTTTACTGAACAGGGATCTTTATTCTTGTTCTAAGCTTATGGTTTCTTGGCTTTAATAGTTGTCTTTTCTGGCAACTTATATATACCAACTGTTCTTAGAAAAGTCCTTTTTTTTTGCGGAAAATACTGAATAATTCATTCTATTTTCTTACAAACTTTTAATTTACTGCATTTCAATGAAGTTCACAAGGAAATAATATTTTGAAGGTTATTATATTAAATATCCTTATTCTCATTATAAATTTTGCACCCAGGGAGATTCAATCTCCAAAATAAATTTAAATGAAGTACATTATACTGTGATATCCTTGTCTTTTCCCAAGATTTTTCAGTTTAACTTACCAAACAATAAAAGGGTTTAAACAAGTTGTCACATCAACTTCTGAGCTTAGAAAAATTTTGCTTTCTGCTTTAATCTTTTCTAACATTTGCATTTTAACAAAAACAAATTTGTCTATAAAAAACAGCTTAACCACTAAAACAACCATTACAGTGGCACATCTGACAAGAACGTACTTCTGTAGTGAGATCAGCATATTTACCTGGGAACAGGTAAGCGCAAAATGAGGCTTGGCTTAGTTAGGTGTACTGGGTGGCTTAGATTGTTGGGAGGTCAGAGGGCACAGATGAACTAGTACCACCAGCAAACTGGCAGGGAATGAAAAATTGGTATTTTTCTGGCAAATTGATTGAAGAAAGCTTTAACAGCACTGAAGGTACATGTGATTTTTATAAAGAAACACTGCAAGGCAGGTGGGTAGCTGGACAGACCAGGACAAAGATGAGCTTCAGCGAACATATGGTTGGCGTGATGGTTAATTTTATGTGTCAACTTGACCGGCCACAGGGTGCTCAGATTAAATACTATTTCTGTCTCTGTCTGTGAGGGTGCTTCTGGATGAGATTAGCATTTGAATTGGTGGACTCAGTAAAGCAGACTGCCTTCCCCAATGTGGATGAGCATCATCTAATCCTTTGAGAGCCTGAATAGAACAAAAGTCAGAGGAAGGAGGAATTCATCCCTTTTTTCCCTGTCTCACTGATTAAAGCTGGGACATCTTATCTCTTCCAGCCCTCAGAATGGGATTTACACCATCGGCTCCCCGGTTCCCAGGCCTTTGGACTTGGACTGAATTACACCACCAGCTCTCCTGGGTCTCCAGCTTACTTACGGCATGGTGGGACATCTCAGTCTCCATAATCACATAAGCCAATTCTTCAGAATAAATCTTCTTTTTTGTGTATGTATGTATATGTATACATTTATACATGTATATATATATATATATATGTATATTCTACATATATATATATATATGTATATTCTACTGGCTCTGTATCTCTGGAGGACCCTGACTAATACAGCTGGTGAAAAAATTTTAACACTCTTGTTAAAGCTGAACCTATCTACCAAGGAACAAATTGGTTATCAATATAACTTTTGGTCAAATTGATGGGTGGGACAATAATCTAACCACTTGGCACTTTCAGATCTCAGCTCATTGTGCCACCAAGGATGAGAACAATGCTGAAATATTTCTCAAGACTCTTCTGTTACTGTGTGTCTACGTTCATCCCAACACTTCTTAAGGAGTTCTTAGGAGTGAGAGCCAGAAAGAGCAAGTCTGAAAACACGGAGAGAAATTGCACATAAAGAAATAATTATAAATGAGAGATAAGTTATAAAAATATTTGTACTCCCCTCTCTGTCTTCTCTTGACTGGAGGTTCATGACGGAGGTTCAGGAGGTACTTCCTAATTCAGATAGTACTGTTTTAGATACAACCATCCTCTTGCTGTGGGCCTTCCTAAGACTACCTGATAATTTTAGAAAGCTGATGAGAAAAATGAATTCTGAAAAATATACCATACCTTATCCAACGCGTACATAGCAAACACAGGCCCATCATGAGCTTTCACTGTCTTTAGTAGCAGAATGTCTTTCCAAATAAAAATATCTCCAGTAGCTGCTCCTGAGAATACTAGATCTTCCATTCGTCCATAAGAAACACACATCATTGTTTCCAGTTTTCCAACACTTCCAAAAATTCCTCTTTTAGAGGTGAAGCCCCCACCTGGAGTGGATAATGAATAATTATTACTCTTTAAAAATTAACACCTTCTATGAGCATGTAACTATCTTCAATGAAAAAGTCAATGTGTCTACATATCATGTGGACATAAAGATGTATAAAAATGGAAGAAAATATCATAGACAAAAATATTGTAAGAAGGTTTCTCATTCACTCATTTATTAATTCAGTGTTTACTGGATCCCTACTTTGTGACAGGCACGGTGGTCAATTTCAGGGTACAAAGATGAAAAGAAGGAGTTCCTGCCTTCAAGGAACTTAGGGTCTGGTTGGACAGACTCGATATGCATCTCAGTCCAATGAGACATATGTCTAACTAAGTTCACTGCAAGTTCTGTGCCAGCCCAAAGGCAGGAGTGACTAAGTGCCTGGGGGAGCCAGGAAAGTCTTCATGAATGCTGACCAAAAAGAATGAAAACAGCCCTGGCTGCAAATGTAAAATGTAAACATGTTGTGTAGATTTTGCCTCAATTTTATCACAGCAACTTTGGGGTGAGAAAAATGAATCATTGTGTAGGAGAAGGTACATCAGATTTGCCCCTTAGGTGTTCACATTTCCCTGCACTTCCTGGTTAGCACTGAGAAACCCAGATTCATTCCAGCCAACTATACACAGGCTGGATCTTCAGACATGTTGGGTGCCATCATCCTGTCTTTGAAAGCAGAAAGTACTGGAACAGTGCTTATTTATGTTTTGTCTAGTATAAGATTGAGCTTGGTATCAAAGCTGATACTACGAATGTCAGAAATAATAGCAATAACAGGTATGGCTTATTAGTGAAAAGAATAAGATATCCTTCCATATTCTATCTTGCTTATTTATTCATCATTATTATCAACATTATAATCCACAAATATTTATTTTGACCACCGACTGTGTGTAGTGTCAGGGTTTAATTTACTTGCTAAATTCAGTGATAAATTAATAAAGGAACCCTCATAATACTGAAAATTGTATTCGCCCAACCAAAATGATTATTTTGCTTTCTGCTCAGTAACCCAACATAATTATTGCTTTCAGGACAGATGATTAAATACAAAAATAATTATTTTCACAGCAGGACATTTTCCAAAGCTTTCTAGATATTGATGAATATGCATAGCATCACATAGTGTTCTAAGTTTTACAGCTTGGACATTAAGGAATCCAAAATGAATTTAGGAGGGAACATCTTCTAGGCACATTTTAATTTTAGATTGCAGAGACAGGCTAGGTAGTGGTGGTGGGGTCTGTTCAGCTGGAGCAAAGCTCTCAATCACATAAACGATGAGGCCCAACAATAGTACCTGCTTGTTGCCAGAATTTGATGTGCTTCATCCCAACCGTAACCAGTTTGTCCACATGGTGAGGGTTACACTTCACCACAAATATCTTATCCTTATGTCCTCTGTAAGAGACAAATAGGAAAAAAAATTCTAGTTCTGAAGGAAGCAGTGATATAGAGTTTTATTAAACGTATGCATTCGGTCTAACTTTCATTAGGCACATGTAACACGACAACTAAATTAGAAGATGATTTAAAATACACATGGGTTCTACATTAAAATAACAAGCTTTGGCTTTTCTTCGCATGTTTGAACCCTTTCTTGTTACTCTAATATTGCTACTAAAAGTTACTTAACTATACTTTAAACAAATTAATGAAACATTTAAAATGGATCAGAATGTCTCCATAAGATTAAATTAATGCCACCACCATAGGATTGTGAATAATTCTCAGGATACAGGGATCTCATACAGGAGAAAGAAGATGACACTGCAACAGCATTAATGAGAAGCTACCAATGTAATATTCTTGCTGTGGAAGGCATAACTTTGTGTTAAATGAAGCGTCAGCTAGAAATGTATTCACTAGAATTGAAGCTCTTGGCTCACGTCCATGAAGAGAGAAATGATGTTATCTATTGATTCAGGCACTTTGTGATGCTGTGCATCCTCAAATGTAGGTTTATAACCCAAGAGGCAGAAGGAGAAATATGCATGTGAGCATTTATTGTAGACCTGGAGCTGGAGACCTGGGATTCCACAGTGCCAGGGAAATTTCTGCTTTAGAGGATAGAGTTATCACATTAAAATCTAAGGATTTCCTGGTCTTAATGGACTACTTGATGATCTTCTCTAGAGTGTTATGACATAGCTTTCATTATGTAAAAAAGAAGCAATTAACAAGAATATAACTGACCAGGCTCTCTTATGAATACAGACATGAAGAACTCAAGTAAAATATTAACAAAGATAATCCAATAACACACCAAGAAATAATACATATGATCAAAAGCAAGGGCGGTTCATTATTAAAGAATCAAATAGTACAATCATCATATTAATATATATAAGGAGAAAAGTTATGTCATAATTTTCACAGATGCTGAAAAGATAATTGACAAAAATTTAACACTCATTTGTGATTTAAAAAACACTCAATTAATACTCAATAAAGTAGGAATTAATAGATGTGTCAGACTTATCTCTTAGACATTTATATTTCCCTGCAGTCCTTGACTCCCACAGAGAAACTCAGATTCATTCAAGACCAATTATACACAGGCTGGCTCTCCAGATGCTGTGTGCCATTATCCTTTCTTTAAAATCAGAAGGTGCTGGAACAGCAGCTTATTCATAGTCTGTTTGCGTGACTCAAAAGTCACGTTCTTACTTAATATCATTCCCAATAAAGCCAGAAACAAGACTATTACCACTATACACTGTATTGAACACATTAACTAATGCAGTTAGACAAGACTTTAAAAGTTAAAGGGAGAAAAGCTGGAATGGAAGAGGTAAAACTATTTCTATCTGCAGAGTATATAATTACATGCCTAGAAAATTCAAAAGAAACTAATATAAAAACAATGACAAACAAGATAATTTAGTAAAGTTGCAGTATATAGAGTTAAATACAGAATGAATAACCTTAATATATACAAAAACCAGTTGAAAAATATAATGCACAAGAAGACTTTATGAACAACGACGAAAACATCAAGGCATAAATTTAACAAGATATGTGCAATACATAAAATGAGTAAAATAAACAAAAAACCCACATCTGTAAGATAGAAAAGCAGACTTTAAAAAGGAAATATATTCTATGTTCTTGGTTTGGAAAACTCAATCATAAGATGTCAATTCTCCCTAATTTTGTTTATAAATACAACTTGATTCCAATAAAAAAAACATTTGGTGTTTGTTTGTATTTAATCTAGAGTTAGACACCTTGGTTTTAAAGTTCTTATGGAAGAATAAACCAGCAGGAATGGCCAGGCAAACTCTGAAAAAGTAGAGCAAACTGGGAAGGGCAGCTCTCCTAGATATTAAGACAATTTATAAAGCTTTCAGAATTAAAACAGTAGGTGCTGGTGCATGAATTGACTGACAAACCAATGGCAAAATAGAAAATCTAGAAAGAGACCCAAATGAATATTAAAATGTGATATATAATAAAGACAAGGTCTCATATCAATGGGGAAAAGAGGAACTTCTAAAATAAATGGTGTTTGTCTTCAAATGCTGGCATGGATGTGGAGCAACAAGAACTCTCGAACATTGTTGGTTGGCAACGCAAAATGGTACAGCCACTTTGGAAGACAGTGGCAGTTTCCTACAAAACGAAACATACTTTTACCATAAGATTCAGCAGTCATGTTTGGTATTTACCCAAAGGAATTGAAAACATATGTCCACACAAAAATCTGCACATGAATGTTTACAGCAGCTTTAATTATAAATGGCAAAACTTGGAAGCAACCAAGTTGCCCTTCAGTAAGTGAACAGATAAAAAAACCATGGTACATCCACACAACAGAATATTATTTAATGCTGAAAAGAAATGAGCTATTAAGCCGTGAGAAGACATGAAGGAATCTTAAATGGATATTATTAAGTGAAAGAAGCCAATATAAAAAGGCTACATACTATATAATTCCAACTGTACGACATTTTGGAGAAAGCAAAACTATAGAGATAGTAAAAATATTAGCAATTGGCAGGATAGAGGGGAGGAAAGGAAAGAGAGATGAACAGGCAGAGCACAAAGGAGTTTTAGGGCAGTGAAACTATTCTCTATGACACTATAATGCAGGGCACATGTCATTATACATTTGTCAAAACTTATAGAATGCACAAACACCTAGAGTGAACCCTAACATAAACTACAGACTTTAGGTGATAATGATGTGTCAATGTAGCTTCATCTATTGTAACAAACATACCATTCTCATGGGAGGTGGGGATTTGGGGGAGGCTGGGCGAGGCCATATATGGGAACTCTATAGTTTTGCTCAACTTTGCTGTGAATCTAAAACTGTTCTAAAAATTAAAGTCTATTTAAAAGAAAAATGGTGTTTGGAACACCTTGATAACCATATGGAAAAGGATGAAATTGGATCTGTCCCTCATAATAGATACTAGGATAAATTCTAAATGGTTTAGAGATCTAAATGTAAAGATGAAGCCATGACAGATCAGAAGAAATTACAAGTGATTTCCTTTTAACCTAGAATGGGGAATATTTCCTAACTATGTCTCAAAAATCTTGAAGCAAAGAAAAGATTGATACATTTGACCACCTAAAAATAAAAATCTTCTGCATGATGGAAAACACCATCGCAAACTGAAAAGACAAATGACAAACTGGGAAAAATATCTGCAAGTTAGACAAAGAACAAATAAGCCTAAAATTTAAAGGACTACTTCTGGTGTGAACTGTATTTTAGAGAGACCAAATGGTTCATGAGGGAAAATTCTTATTTATAAGAATTCTACTAATATGAAGAATGAATGATAGAATTTGAAAATTATCATTTTCAACCTCTAATTAAATAATCAGTTTAACCCACAGTTGTAAATAGATGCTACAACCATTAGGTAATACATTGATGGAAAGCTTTATAACAAAAGGATCAGGCTGATGCTACCAGATCCCACAAGTGAGCTGAGTCTTACTAAGAGTAGGACACACATTTCGTGCAGTGGTGTTCCATGGAGGTGTGCTGGAGCAGCACTCTGCCCTGGGGGAGAAGAATTCCATCCCCAACATTGTTTAGAATTGCTGGCTCATGGGAATACCAAAAAGCAGACTGGCTTTTAGTTGGTTTTATTGGTCTTTTTAAATTTTTCTGCAGCTAATACAGCCCCATTGCTAGCACCTGGGAAGTACCACTCCCACTGCCCTAATCCTCTGGTATGCAACTGATTATGTTTCTTCTGATGTGATGAAACAGGAAGTACCTATGAAGTATTTTTGTCTAAAAAATTGAACATGGGAGAAAATATCCACAAATCATTTATCTGATAAAGGACTTGTAGCCAGAATATTATACATATACATATAGATATATAAAAACTCTTGGGGCCAGCCCTGTGGCCCAGTGGTTAAATTCAGCGCACTCAGCTTTGCTGGCCCAGGTTCAGTGCCCAGGCACAGACCTACACCACTTGTTGGTGGCCATGCTGTGGCGGTGTGCCACATACAAAATGGAGGAAGATTGGCACAGATGTCAGCTCAGTGCAAATCTTCCTCAAGCAAAAAAGAGGAAATTTGGCAACAGATGTTAGCTCAGGGCAAATCTTTCTCAGGAAAAAAAAAACAACTCTTACAACTCACTAATAAAAAGATAAATAGCCCTATTTTGAAATGGGCAAAGTATAAAAAAAGACAAAATCGTCCCATTTGCAACAACACGGATGGACCTTGAGGGTAATATGTTAAGTGAAATAAACCAGACAGGGAAAGACAAAAACCATATGATTTCACTTATATGTGGAAGATAAACACATGAATGAAGAGAACAGATTAGTGGTTACCAGAGGGGAAGAGGGTTGCAGGATGGGCAAAAGGGGTAAAGGGGCACATATGTATGGTGACGGATAAAAACTAGACTATTGGTGATGAGCACGATGCGAGTCTATACAGAAACTGATATATAATAATATACACCTGAAATTACACAGTGTTATAAACCAATATGACCTCAATAAAATAAAAAATATATATTAATAAAAAAATGGGCAAAGTATCTGAATAGACAATTCTACAAAGATGTACAAATGGCTAGTAAATACATGAAAATATGCTCAACATCATTAGCCATTAGGGAAATGAAAATCAAAACCAAAATGAGATACCACTTCACACCCACTAGGACGGCTGTAACGAAAACGACAGACCATAACGTATTGGTGAGTATGTAGAGACACTGGAAACTTCATCCATTGCTGGTGGGAATGTAAAGGGTGCAGTTACTTTGAAAAATATTTTGACAGTGCCTTAAAATGTTAAACATACAGTTACCAAATAACACAGGAATTCCACTTCTAGGTATACACCCAAGAGAAATTAAACATATGTCTACTCAAAACCTTGAACACAAATGTTCATAGCAGCAT